TAAATAAATAAATAAAATAAACTCTACATTCTAACTTCATTCAACATAACACACTCACTGTCTCTTCTTTTACAATTTCATCATCAGATTTCTACTTAATTTTTCCTAGGTCATACATTTCAAACCTGCAAGGCCCATTCGTGTCTCCAAAATTATTTTCAGAGCCTCATATCTAGAGCAAACTATAAATCAGTCCACGTTCTCCCTTTTGGTGAGGCACGAAATCAATGTACGCAAAGAAGGAAGATGATGCGATTATGCAAAGACTAAACTATTCTTCTAGCATAGGGACTTAGGACACCACTCATTTCTTGCTAGGTTATAATGTAATAAATCCTACCAGTTTAGGCTTTCTAGAAGGATCTACTGGCAGAATTATTGTGTCAAGTATAAGTCTCATTACTAATTCTTAATTAGAACCTATTAAGCCCCCAATATTATGAGTCTTCAATATTATAAATCACATAGTTGTTACAGAAATGAGACAGGAATCCCATTCTGCATTCTGATCATCTATTTAATACATTCATCGCTAAACTGTAAACTCCTTGTACACAGGGATTATGCCTGATTTATCTCCAGTGACTAGCACAATGCCTAACATGTAGGGAATGCTCATAATTTGGGGGAGAGTCAATGAGTACCATAGAAAGATATGGTAATAATTATAATAAATGGAAACATTATTTCAATACTTAATAAAGATGTCTATGATAAATTTGGAATAAAATAGATTTCCAACATTACTATGCTCATGTGTCTTTTCCAAATTTAAGAAAATAACTAATTAATATAAATGGTTTTACTGAACACTTTACAAAGAATCGACAGTTTCTTGAAACCATTTCACTACACGTTACCTTGTTCCCCTGGCTGCTGCTGCCCTTAGGAGCAATGAAAGCAGTAAAAAGTTTCTTCCTGAATGCATTCCACCTTGCGTGGGGGCTATAGTGGAAGAAGCAGCCCAATCCCTCTGCTCAGACCCTCAACGTTCCTTTGTTACACAAAGCTGTTAAATTGACAAACTGCAGATTTACTGGGTGTGTGCCACTACCACATGCTCATTTCTCAAAGTGCTTCTGTTTGTTGCATTCCACTGTATCATATTAGAGATTTAGTACAGTGTATATATGTATTTTTACACAATGCTATAGAAGAGTATTTTTTTAAAAAACACTTTGGGAGAAAGCACTAGAATCAAGGGGGTTCAAGTATCAAGTTTTCATTTTTTAAAACAATTTTCTCATTTTTGGAGAAAAAACATTTAATGGAAGAAAATATTCTCTTTACTCCTGTTGGATCATCAGGACACACCAGAACACAATGAAATACACATTATTTTTTTATCAAATATGATTTCATTCTACACAGGAAATAAAAATATTCTAAGAAAATGAATCACTTAAATGAGACAGTGGGAAAAAAGAAATATAAATTTACTTAAAGAGCATTCACTGGATGAGAAAAGAAGAATAAAACTTTTACTCACCTTTTAAAGACTGTCTTGGTCAGGAGCACATATATTTTTAACTTACTAAATAAGTTTGTTTATATCGTAAATTTTTATTCATGGTGTATAATATATAAAAAGAAAAAATATAAAAATGTCTAGCATTTAAAAATTGATAGCTAAACAATGAACCTTATATTTTTAAATACCAATGTTAGTTTTTAACAGAATTAGCTGAAAAATAGCAGCTTATACATATACTTAGTATAATTATAAAAACATACACTATTCAACAATTACATGTTTAATAAGAGAAATTAACAGTTTGTTACTTAAGAAAAATACCACCAAAAGAAAAGAGGCATTCATTACAATACAGGATCTGTGACTTAAAACATTTTAGGTATTGATCCAAAGAGTAAAAATACAACATACATATGAATTATGCAAAGCACAAAGCCATAACACATCATTAATAAGCAAGGGTTAAAATACAATCATTTCACATTGACTAATCACAAAAATACAGTCATTAAATTAACAGACATAGGTTAAGATTTATTTATTCCTTTCTTTAATCATGCTTATTAATTATTACAACACAAGATTTCCCACAACGTGGAGAAAATTTAAATGCATATTTACAACTTTCTTCCTAGTTACATATTAATGATTTAGCACTTCATATTTTCATTTTGCTTTAAAATGAAATGTGTTTGAGATTTCATGTCATTCATATATATGTACACACATACGTATTCTTAATTTCCTAACCTGATGAACAGGATCTGCTGAAATTAAACTTACCCATGAAAGAATATTAATCTGATATGTTAATAAGAGGTATTTTGAAGTTTGGATAATATGTGGCAATACTGAAAGAGGTAAAGGGTTATATCTGGTTTTAACAACAAAACTTCAGATCCCTTAAACCCTTTTAATATAAAAGGCTAATTTAAGGAATAAAATTCTTCATATAATAAAAGAAATCCAGGCACTCTAATGATACATATGTACTTTATACCTATAAAAAGTAAATAAATAAGTGTAAACATTCTAATAAACATTTATTGTGATTTCTAAAATTTCATCTTCAACTTATCAAAAAAGATATAGTTCTACACTAGTGCAAAGACAATTATTCAATGAACTCCTTTTGGAATAGACATGTAGTAAACAATGAAGAATTGTGTACTTCTGTCTTACTATTTTGTAATTTGTGTTTATTGTTTTCTTGGTCATGTGTTTTTGTGAGGTTGAAAAAGTTATCTGTGCATAGGACTTGAATGAACATTCGGGTTTTTCACTTATGACATCATTTACATACAAAAACTAGCATGACACAAATGTATTGGTAAATAGTATTAGATACATTCCAACCCAACAGATAAACATTGTGTGATGTTGTACACCTTAGACTTACACAATGTTATATGCCAATTATATCTCAATAAAGCTGGGGAAAAAATCGTGTGACTACCATAGTGACTATGTAGAGAAGGTTGATAAACCTTAAAATGTTTTACAATGTAAAAAAAAGGGATCAAAAACTTCTAAAACTGACCCCAAATGAGTATTTATAGTTCTAATACTCTATAACCTTAAGTACATTTTATGTTAAATGTAAAAAGCATTATATTATTTATTAAATAGAATAGGGGTCAGCAAACTTTTCCCAGAAAGGGGCAAATAGTAAATATTTCAGGCTTTGAGGACCATGTAGTCTCTATTGCAGCTAATCAACTCTGCTTTGTAGCGCAAAAGCAGCCATAGATAATACATTAAAAAACGTGCATGACTGTGTACCAATAAAACTTATTTACAAAAACAGGCAATGAGCCAGATTTGATCCATGGGCCATAGTTTGCTGATCCCTGAAATACAAAATCTGACTCAAAAACTATTTTAAGTACTTCAATACCTAGCACAAAGCAGGAGACATAAGTGAATGTTTAATGCTTTGTGAATTAATAAAGTCATGAATAAGTAGAGAAAATAAAACCTTTGTGCTCAGAAACAAATGCTATTACAATTCAATCTCTAACTAGTGGTTAGGAGTCTGTTCCCTAATGGGTGCAAAATTCCAAGAAGGTTATCCACAGCCTTATTAAGAACCAGGCTTGCAAACTAAAATCAATAAAATGAAAGAAAATGTAACAGAGATATAGTAAAGAGAAAATGAATTTTTCTAACAAAAAATGGTATCTTTTTGTGGTGAGTTCCTACGGTATTTCAAATCTTCCCAGCTAGATTGTAAACTCCATAGGGTTTATTATCACTAGTACAGTCTTTATTATCTCTAGCACAGTGCCTAGGATATAGTAGATGGTCAGGACACATTTTACTAAGTAAATATGTGAATGCTTTCTATGGGAAAATAAGTTTTTTGTTAGTTCCCACAAAGTGATGGTTCTCTGACGTAATAATTTAAGACCCTCCTATAAAGTTCAAATGTTCTGTTGTTTCATATCAGTCACACTGACTATGAAGATAAATTTCAGCCTGAACTAGAACTTGACCTACGCTTCAAGTGGCATGAGTTGAAACTTGGGTTTACATCTCATTGTGAAGCTTTGACTTGGGCAAAGCAAGGCATCAGTGTTGGTTATAAAACCAGAGTTATAATTATTTTCCAAATAAAGAATTAACTTTATAAATGTAATTATAAATAGATTACAGACTCAAATCAGTTTTTTACCTGAAAGAAGTATACTTGGTTTTTCGTGATTTAAAATATCAAAAGTGACCAAAATGCTAATTTCAGTATATTTATATATTGTTGTTCAAAGCCTGGCTATTTAAAAAATTCTAGAGAAAATAAACCATTCATGAACAACATTTATGAATTTTATGTATGGCTCCAAAAAAATAAAAATTAAAACATCCCCAAAACACAGTAACTCCACACAGTGGAAAAAATGAATATTCATATAAATTACTATATAAATCATACTTTTCCATGATGTATGTAACAAACTGTAAACAATTAATTTACTTTATATAAGTAAATTTCTCTATCTTTTCTTTAATATAATATTTTCACATTTCCAAACAAAATACAAAGTTTAACAATGACAAAAACAAAGTCTTCAAGAATGTTATTTGTTTTTGGATCAGTTACTGGACATTGACAGACAAAAGCCACATACAGTTATACACTCAAACAAGACATAGCGTTAATTTGCCATTGTTACAAGCACAATGTTAACATTAGATACAAATGTAAATAGTACAACATTTCTGATTAATTAGAGGGCAAGCCAAAGATATACTGGAGAAAAGTATTTCCATTAGAATAGTGCTATTGTTCAAAATTCACTTATAAAAAATATAAATACATATAAAACTATTATATATATTACAGTACTTGAAACGGAATGAATTCTTCTTCCAAACAATTACATTTAATAACCCAAGCCAAGATGGCCAATGGTCTACTTAAAAAAAAAAGAATCAGAGAAAATATAGTGTTTGCATCACAATTTGTAAAGAGAGGAATTTAAAGTTAAAAGGACATAGTAAAACGATAAACATAAGAATACTATCGTACCGATTTCCATGGTCCCCGATGCCATGATACGCCATCAGGGCAAGCATGCACGTGACATTGGACCACACTAGGTGGCTTGTTTAAGATTTCACAGTTTTGCTCTTGTGACCTTTGGCCATTGGGAAATTGACATATTACGAATCTTGATTTTATTCCTCCTCCACATGTTTGTGTACACTAAAAATAAGAAAATTCAAAACTATGTGGCTTTAAAGAGAATATTATATTGCTCTCTTCAATGTTTAATACATAAATTAGTAATGCTAGAGTTTAAAGTTTCTCCTTCCTAATTCTCAACATTTCTTTCTGGGTAAAAAATAAATCAAAGTTCTAGTGGCATAATTTAAAAAATAATAGACACAATTTTGAGAATTAGTACCATAAGATATCAAGAGTCTATGAGATAGACTCTTGGCAGGTTAAGCCAGAAACAAAACTGATTTACTTAATAAGTATTAACTATATAACAATTACTATGTAGCCGTGAAAGCTAATACGGTAGATCTAAATTTAAATACAGAAAGATTTTCAGTATATATTATATGAAAAAAGTAGGTGGCAAAACAGCATATATAACGTGAACCTATTTCTGGAACCCACATAGAACAAAACTCTATAAGGAAATGTATCAAAAAGTTAAAAGATATTTCTTCATAATTCTTCATATTATTTTTAATTTCTACAATGAGCATGCATAAACTCAGAAATAAAAGTTACTTTCATTTTGGAAAACAGTAAAAGTACATTTTTAAAATGTACTTAATTAGCACCTGGTCAGAGTGTATCCTTAAACAGTGATTTCCAAATTCCCAATGAAGAGAAAATACGTACCAAAAATCCTTAAGCAAAAATATTTGACTAAGTTAGATGGTTTATTTTATTCATCCAAAGCCAGCATAAGTCTTTCTTATTCTTTCTTATCTATATTATAGGTGGGATTAGTATTCATTATAACCATTTAAAAATTATCTTCATATCCCCAGTGCCTAGAAGAATGCCAGGGCATGAAGAAAATGCTCAATAATTGACAACTATCTGTTTAAAAGATTTACCAAATGAATGGTTCAGTAATAGGATATAAACGTGGCCTATATATCAGTCTAATTTTCTATCTTTATATCAATCTAATTTTCTAAGAAATTAAAACTAATATACTAATTTTAGAAAGGCATTGGTAGTTCAGTTATATTGGCTAGCATATTAGATTCTGTAAAAAAATACGGAGTATACATTTCCTATCATGAATGAGTAATTTATACCATGACAATATCTATTAAAAGAACATGGTTTTACTCAATAAAAGAAAATCTTTCTGTATGGTATAGTGAAGTAAGATTATCCAACAGTAACAGTATGAAGGGCTTAACTCTCGGTCTTCAGTGATGTCACACGTAATCTCCACAAGTTTAGGAACTATTATGACTTACTTCTCCCCAGCTTCCGTAGTTCCACCGTGGACAAGGTCCCGCATCGCAGTGCTTTGACTCTGGAGGCTTGGAGGCCGCATCACAGTAACTGGCGCTCTGTCCATTTTCGTCCTGGCAGACCACAACTCGACGCTGAACACCTCCAGCACAACTGGTGGAGCACTGACAAGGATAAAACACACAAACTGCAGATTCCACATCATGAAGCTATGTGGTGAAAAAAATCAGTATTTTGACTCAAGTTCCAACTCCCCACATTAAAATCTCCCTCAGTGGAATCATCATTTGCATCACAATCTGTCAAAACACTTGAGTTTTACTAGGAGTCTCATTAGAATTTGATAATGAAAAGGTGAAGTTTTAAAACTCGTGATAGGAAATTCATCCTTGTCCTCTTAAGTGTTAAGTAAAAGGGAATTAAAGTTTTAAGGTCTCAGTAGAATGGAATAAAAGACAAAAAAATAGTGTTAAGGTACTTAATTTTTACATTGGCGTTTTTCTGTATTTTGTTGTCATTAATCTCATGTAAAATATGAATGACAATCATAGCTTTTGCAGTTTATCATGATTTTACACCAGCTTACAGAATGTTTTTTCATAAACATTCGTAGTCTTACCTCCTAAAAGACTTTCTTTTATTATAATGGACTCTAATCAGATTGTTTTTAAGTGCATTCCTCTGTAATCATAATATTGAATTATACATTAATGTGATGAGAACTCTGGATCAAAAATTGCTTAATCTTTTTAAGATTTAAACTAGTGATCTTCAGATAAATTTAGCATTAAAAGCACTTGACGTCATTGTATATGTATCTGTTAAAAGGCTATAATATTACAAAATTATAGAATGAATATAACTCAATAAAGACAGCTTACTGTTCCCCATGGTCCTGTTCTCCATTGGTTTCCTCTGATTGATGGATGGACCCCCTGATTTTGATTATCTTCTGGTTTGTGAGTTAGTGGAAAATTCCTGCCTGGAAAATGGTTTGGCTGCTCAGAGGAACTCGGAAAGTGGCTATACGCGGGCGGGCAGGCTGCCAGATTACATTCTTGTTCTATCAAAGGGCGAACTTCAGGGTCACAGTAATTCTCATTAATTGGCTGATGGTAGTTGATGCATAAAACTTGTCGAGTTGTTTTTCCATGGCCACAGGTAGCTGAACACTGATCACAAATTTAGCAAACATTTATAATGTAATAAACTACATTCATGTTATACTAAATATCAAATATTACATTTAAATTTTTCATTTCGTTTTTTTCTCATAAAAATACTTACAGGGGACCAATTCCCTGTTTGCCACTCGCCACAAGGGCTAAAACAGACAGATATTTCAGCAGGCCGAGGTAAATGGGCACAATAGGATTCATGGGCTATTCCATCATGAGCATCGCGACAGCTTACGTAGCGGGCTTGGTTACCTCTTCCACAAGACACGGAGCACTTTAAAAAAAATTGAATTATATGAAGGTGTTATATAGTACCTCTCCCACTTTCCTTATACATAGCTGTTGCTCAAATTTCTAAAACATCAAATTTCTTGGAAAAGCTTAAATTATAAATATCATCTGGCATCACTTTTGAGTCAAAAATAGGGTAGTGAATTTCCTACTCAGTTTAGATCATAAATTTCACAAATCAGACGTTTATGATAATGAGAACAAAACACTAAACTTCTTGGAATATTGATTAGTTATTTGCCAAAATTAAAGATACAGAAAGCCTTTTATATAAGATAATCTTATATAAAGATTCTAAGAATTTTATATAAGAGAATTTACTTTATATAAGAGAACCTTATATAAAATGTAAGTAATACATATGATCCCATTAATTAAAGTATTCAGAGAATATGTGGAGCTTAAAAATATATACTACATAACATTAAAGCAAAGTGTACACTCCAAAGACACTGAAGCTTTCGGTTTAGAAAAACAACACAAAAATGTTGGTAGTTTAAAAAAAAAGCAGATAAGAAGGCTAATGTCACATCTGCTTCTTCTTTTTTTTTTTTTTGTGAGGAAGATCGGCCCTGAGCTAACATCTGCCAATCCTCCTCTTTTTTTTGCTGAGGACAACTGGCCCTGGGCTAACATCCATGCCCATCCTCCTCCACTTTATATGCGCCGCCGCCACAGCATGGCTCACCAAGCGGTACATCAGTGCGCGCCCTGGATCCAAACCGGCGAACACCGGGCCTCTGCAGCAGAGCGCACGCACTTAACTGTTTGTGCCACCCGGCCGGCCCCACATCTGCTTCTTATAACAACTTGTGACATAAACATTATTATCCTCATTTTGTAGATTAGAAAATAGCAGAAAACTTAAGTTTCTCGCTGAGAGACACAGAGCAAGATTTAGCCATTAAATTACCTAATTCTAAACCCCATGCTCCTGCCACACCATCAAAATACCTGAGAATGAATGCATACATTAATTCGGCAAATCTGTAGCAACCTTTTGTTGATATCTAAAAGCCTCCATAATAGAAACACTGTGCTTCTTACAGGAATTCACTTACTGGGGTCCAAGAACCATGTCGCCATTGTGCCATCTTGGGAAGAGCTGGTAATGAAGTGGCTCCAATTTTAGGGATAATTGGGCAAGGTGTAACTATACAGTCCTGTTCAAAAGAAAAATGGGTCTCATGAAACATGAATTAATCACTGATTTATATTAAATCTCGTTTCTTCTTCTACACATCTAATTCAAGGACGGTTGCACACTGAATTACAAATAAACGATGTAAAGGTTTTTATTTTTCAAAAATACAAAGTACTGTCTAGGGCTAGAAGTGGATTGTATGAGTCTGAATCCTAAGGTTTGGATCATTCTGTCTGATGCTTGAAAAGGAAAAGAGCAACAGTCCTTCAAAAATACCACTAAGCTAAACATTCCGAATGAACACAGAACACTACCTTAAACAGTACGACACACTTTAGAAGTTCATGATATTCGTGATAGATATTATCCTTCTTCTGCAGTTCAAAGGATGGAATATGTAAGTTAAATGAGTGATCCAATGGCAGATAAAGAGTAAAAAAATTCATTAGCAAAGCTACAAAGCTGGCAAAACCAAGAAATCAAGAACAATAAATTCTCTGATGTACATGCACACATTTTTAAGACATAAGTTTAAGTGGAAAAAATACTATGGAAGTAATTTTAACATATCAATAACCCTCCTGTATCATAAATCTTTTTGTTTATAATCCATGAAGAGGCGTCCTTTACCTGCCTGTCACTTGGGCGACTAGCTCCATGGCACACTCTGTCATCTAACACTGCACTAATTAGTTCATTGATGCATTTAACAGCACGCATCTGATACCCATGTCCACATGTGGCTGTGCACTGAAGGAATATAAGCAGATATCAAACACTACTGTTATTCAAAAATTACAGAAACTTAATTTTCTTAATGAATACATAGTTAATAATATACGTCCAGTAGATCTTTTTATGAGTCCTTTATACCAGATTCTAGACTTAACTTTTGCAAATTTAATCAATATAACATATTTATTCAAATTTATGGAGATAATAAAATATTGAAGTTAAAATGTACAGTTATTACCATTACTTTAAAAAGTTATCATGTAAAAATATCAATAGAGGCCTGATATTTTGAAAGTAGAGTCAATACAATTTAGGGAAACTAAATACTTTTCAAAATCTACCTGATGTATATATGTTATTTAACAAGCTAAGTAAATTTCAAAGAGATAGAAGAAGAAAAAGCACAGGACAAAGCTAAAGAGAAGATTCGAGCTTTCCCAACAACTGTGGCAACCCGCACAGGATAATAAGCTGCCCACCTTCATCCAGCCTGACCATTGCTCATCCTGCAGATTCCTAGCTGCCTGGCAAAACTTCTCAACAATGCCTACTCTAAAGACAGTAAAGATAATAATTTAGACACAGAACATGAAAACATTTATAGTTTAAACAAAGCTGCTGAAAGCATAAAATTTGTAGCATTCTGGTTAACAGAATGAATTCAAAAGCAAAGGTAAAATATTTACCGTAGCAAAATTAGCAGTACTGACAAAATTTTGCAGATAAGGGTTTACATCTCAGGAGTATTTTTCCAATAAACCACCCCAATTTAGATGCCTCCATTAAAAGAGTGAAAATACCATTAACTTTTGTGCTATTCTGTAAAGATGGATTAAATCAGAGAAACCCTTATCATATACTCACAGAACCCCACGGTCCTACTTGCCAGGAAGCGCACGTATGAAGCTCACATGGTCTCAGAGATTCAGGTTTGGTACTTGGATCACAGAAGCCATCACTCAAGGGATCTTCATTCAGTTGACACCACACCTGCCGCTGCTTTGTTCCTTTTCCGCATGTGACAAGACACTGTAAGAATATAACTCACCATTATTTATTTCCAGTATTAGTCAACACAGATGCCTTACAAAATGATACAGTGATCAATTTTCATATTAAAATGCAGTTGATAGGGGCTGGCCCCGTGGCCCAAGCAGTTAAGTGCCCGTGCTCTGCTTCAGTGGCCCTGGGTTGGCAGGTTCAGATCCTGGCGCGGACCAACACACCACTTGTCAAGCCATGCTGTGGCAGCGTCCCATATAAAATGGAGGAAGATGGGCAAAGATGTTAGCTCAGGGCCAATCTTCCTCAGCAAAAAAAATGAATAAATGAATGAATGAATAAACAAATAAATAAAATACAGTTGAGAGACCATTCCTAAGGACATTTTCCCTTCATTCCTCCAGAAATATTCACCCCAAACTTCTATTGCCCAAATCTCAGTGCAACATCCATTTGTCCTAGAAACAAAGATACAAAACTAACCTTAGAATACGTATCTATCTCAGGCTACTGTGGACACCAGGACTTTCTCATAAAAACCATTATAGATTAAACACCAGTTAATGTCACTGTTAGCCAGATACTGCAAATAGCTTAAGAAGAAACCATTTTTTATTGCCTTGATAATAAAGTTATTTATGAAATAAAATAAATGTAAATTTTTTGAATTAATAAAGCCTTAGATTGCAAAGCTTTCCTACACAATATTATAACCGTTCTAAGCCACATGCATTTAATGTTACCTCACTCCACTCACTGGTAGCCCAACTGGGACAGGAAAATTCATTGCAATTCTCTATCGTCACTCTCAGAAGCTCTTGGCATTCTCTATCAGCAAGACGGTGGCCCAAGTTATTTATACAATAAGATTCTCGAGACCTTTCCCCTCCTCCACAACTCCTGGAACACTGATTCAAGAAAAAAAGAAAAAAAGTGGTGACAAATGGGAACAAAAATTTTAAGAATACTTTAGGGTAACAAATGTTTAATTAAAAATTTAAAAAGAAGCAACTTTTCTCAAGCAATACTTTTTGTTTGTACCTGGGACCATTCCGAATAATGCCAACTGGTTAAGACACAGTCACCATGGCAGGGTTCTCTGGTAGGAGGTTTCAGCTGGTCACCACAGTAGTGGTCATCTACTGGAACAGTCTGTCCTTTATGAATGGAATACTTCATGCAGTGGACGTCCAATGATTTATATCCTTGACCACAATGGGATGAACACTCACTTTTGCCAATGATGTGCCACCTAGAAAAAATGATGTTATGACACTTAGGAGGTATGCCAATTAACGCAATTAAAAAATGGATTCAGAGAGACTCATGCATATGATTCAATTTTAAAAATTCTGTTTGATTTGATGGACAAGCCACCTGAAAATATTTGATATATCATTGAATTAGAGATAAGTTCTTAGGGATCATATAGCCCAAACTTCCATTTTATAAACGAGAAAATGAGGCCCAGCGATATTGTGTATTCAAATGGTATAAATGCTTGACTTTTTCATTAGAAACCTTTTTTTCCAAATAAAATCTTACTTCCTCTCCAAATATATAAAAATGGAGCTGGTCTGGTTTAAGCTGGAGATAGGGAGCCAGTATCTATTGACCTCACTCTGGCATTGGGTGGTGGCTTTAGAGGTATGTCCAAGGAACCCCAGGCTTCCCCGAACACCTTTGAAAACAACTGGTTTAGACTGAGATTACCCAATTACTTGGTGGCAGATTTAAGACTATAACTGAATATATCTGACTTGCAATCAGGTAGTCTCCCTCTGTGCAACTCCTCCATAGTATTTTGATTTATGATCAGGGAATATCTGAGAATCTGACTACATCAAGCTTTTAAAAGTTGGTAAAACAGTTTTGTAAAGCATATCACACTTTCTCAATAATTCATGTGATCTACCTTGAAACATGTTTTTAGGGAAAACATTTTTTCCACAGGCAAAATCTGCTTGTATTAGCCAAATTATCCCAATTATAGTTAGCAATCTATCAGACAATGTGAGTGCACCGGTATAACAATGCATGAAATTCCTGGAGCTCATTTCTATCCCCAACATCCTCTCAAGGATTTCACTGTGCTTCATTCCACTGCAATGCAGTGGATGCAGCTTATACAGGCAGTTCTACCACTAGGCTGTCACTATATGTCTTCAAATAACATCATAAATACATAAAACTTCTCAACCTCGCTTAGTGAAAGAGGTTCTGGCCATCCCTGAATGTTAACTGTCGCCTGCTAGATGGGGTTACTGTCCTTAGCTTCACTCTCAGACCAATCATAGAAAAACCAAATAAGAAATTCAGGTTAGAAGTGAAAACTTCCCTGCCATTATCTAGGATCATGTTCCTTAACATTTAATGGACAAAATCCTGATAAGAGAGAGAAATCAACCTATTGATTCTCTAATCCTCAAACTTGAGACGTTTCTTGGTTCATGAGTTCAATGGAAATTGCAGAATCAGGCTACAAAATTGGTTTCAGATCTTTAAACCATGGGTTTTCAGATTAGAGGTTTACTTGTATTTATTTACAGACAAATTTATTTCCATTGCCTGCACAAAATATTGAGGCCTATATACTTATATTCAGGAAATACTGTGAATAAAAATTCAAAGCAATTACTGAGTTGCACAATAAATTAGTGAGCCTGAAATTTTATAACGGCAAGGGGAAAGGATGGACATTAATTACATGTCTGCTATGTGCCAGGCATGGCACTAGATGTCTTACATCTTACCCCATTAATTGATTTAATTTGGTTACATTATACACTGGTTACATTATACATTATTTCTTTTACCTTAGTTCACAGTCCGTATTGCACCTTTCAGTCACAAACAATGGAAGTGGTAAGTGGTCACATCTTTGATCGGACACCACCATATGATCACTTGTACGTATGCAAGTAATTTTTCTTCTATGAAGACCTTGGCCAAAGTCAAATGAAAATTAAAAATAAGAGGAAAATTCACATAGTAGATGTTCCATAATTATTTAACTCTAAGAACCAAAAGGATTCAGTTCAGAAAGCAAAAAATTCCAACATAGCACACAGGATAGACTAGCATATTAATCTAATCAGGGATGGCTTTCTACAATAAGTTGGCTGAATCCTGCAAGATGCAGGAGTTTGCTTAGTGAAGAGATGTAAGGAAGGTGGGACAGGTATGGAGTAGAAAGAAATTCATTATAGCCGGATGGAGTGGTCATTAGTGGAGAATTGAGTGGCCAGGGATGGCGCTAATGCTATATGGTACACTGTATTATTGTTCCTCATCATCCGCTTCCCTTTTCCCTGTAAGAGAACTACACTTCTCTACTTGCTATGATGTCACTGTAACTTCCTTTGGGAGGAGTATACTTCCCTGCCCTTTGACATCAGGCTTATGCCAACCAACCGTAAGGGGATGTGACCTATTCCAGTTCTAAGCAGAAGCTCTAAAAGCCACTGTCTGCTCTGACACCTCTTTTTCCCTTTTCTCTGTCTCTAAAATAGCCTTGCCCAGATGAGGCTCATCTTTCAGCCTGGAATCATGAATGAAAAAGGCACAAACAGACAATAAAAAGATCGGCAGTTGTCACAGGTTCGAGAGGAGACGGAGGGAGGGATTTTTAGGGCAGTGCAAGTATTCCGTAGGATACTGTAATAGTGGACACATGTCATTATACATTTGTCAAAACCCA